TGCAACAGTATAGGACTTGGGGTTTTGCACTGCTAACAGCTGGATTAATCAGATTTACCCAAGACATCCTATTCCCACTGCACTGAAATTACTTGTGTGAGTAAATGTCCACTGCCACAACAAAGGACTGCAGAGATGAGCCCCAGTGTTGCATGGGAAGGCCTGATGAGAAGTGACTTTCACCTCTGAAGTCTGCAGTACAGCCTGTCCCTGCCCAGTGATTGTTCCAGCCCTTTGTTTGGAGCAACACTTCCCTGTTTCACTCTGTGGTACTACTAGCATGTGAGTTCTTCCTTGGTCTTTTATCTGCTCTTCTAGAAGACAGGATGGAAAGCAGTGTGAGTGATCACAACAACCAACCTTGAACCTGGGCTGGGAGAGGACACTGTCTGCCACAGTCACCCAGCCAATGAGCGCGCTGCTTAGGGTAGAAAGTTTAAGCCAAATCCATTTTTCTGCAAAATACTGATTGTTTTGCCACAAGAGATTAGAGAACATTTGCTGTAAAGGGAAAATAGATAAACTCTCTCTGTGAAGACTCCTGCCCACACAAGCCTGATGTGAAGATGTGTATGAAAGCACTGTGCACACTTATTACAAGGATATTTAGTGGTAGAGCAAGGGGTAGTGGCTTTAAACTGAGAGAGGGTAGGTTTAGATTAGAGATTAGGAAGAAATGCCTTACTATGAGGGTGGTGAGGCACTGGCACAGATTGCCCAAAGAAATTGTGGCTGCCCTATCCCTAGAAATGTTGAAGGCCAGGTTGGATGGGGCTTTGAGCAACCTGGTCTAATGTCCCTGCCCATGGCAAGGGGGTTGAATGATCTTGAAGATCCCTTCCAATGCACACTATTCTATGATTCGATGATGAATTGATGTATTGTATTGATTGTATTCAATGATTCTGTGATCTCAGTTTCCACTGCATCATGATTGTGGGTTTACTCATTCAGCTCTTAATCCCCATTGTTTCTTTGGTTGCAGATCTTCACCCATTTTGTTAGCAGATGTGTCTTACAGGGGGGAGAAGTACTACATATATTTGCATCCATGCACAGTCTGATCTCTGAGCACTCTTTGCAGCCAGTACAAGCAAGTGCAGAAGCTGTCCATTTGCTGCTAATATTTCTAGCACATAGGTGAGAAAGATTTGGAGCTGGCTGAGAAGGGGCAGATAATACAGGTAGCAGACCAGCCACATTGGGAACAGTAATTCAGCCGTAGCAACCTAACAAAGTAGAAGAGTAACCGTTTGCTAAGACTTGTAGAACAGCAGCCTAAGAGGAAAACCTCTACTCAACACTAATGCACCAAGTTACAGTTCCAAACTGCAAGACATGGCTTAGGGAAGCAGGCAGGAGGCTAACTAGTCATTGCCTATAGCAGTTCAAGACCCATAAGCCAGAGAAGAGACGTAGTTATTAAAATGCAATGTTTGCTTTTTTAAAAAATAAAAGAGCTTCTAGGGAGATTAATTTTCACTTCCTCCTGGCAATCATTTCATAAACTTGCCAGCGTGATGTGAGGTTAGCTGGATCTGTTCTCTACATTATGCATCTGATTTGTCTGCAGATTTTCTACCCCTCACAATTTAAACCAGCTTTTATTATT